CGGGGATGTACGTGCTCTGGGGGCCCATCACCGAGCGGAAACGGCGACGGAGAGGTACCGGGGAGAGGGGGCGGTACCGAAAACACGGGAAACGGCCCCAAAAAGCGCGTCCTGGGGGGCCCCGGGGCGGCCTCGCCCCGCCCTGCCCGTTGTTGTTCGCCCTGGCGAGGATTTTATCCTTCTAAAGATACAACCGGGTGGCAAATGGCACTAATTTTATAAGATGTCTCTTGAACCGGGGGCTTTGGCTACTAAACCGGGGCCTTTGGCGACTGACGTAGGTTATTAATTGTGTCGATTGATGTTCTTCCCAAATTGGGTTTTGTGTCCTGGGGTGAGCTCATTATTGAGCTGCCGCGGGTCACACACTTCATTCTATTTTGCATTTTGGGGAATGCCACCTTTTTTATTATTATTTAATTTGGCTTTTTGCAAACACAACATTTTATTTGCATCTGGCATATTTTTTTTTTAATTTTTTATTTCTATTTTGTATTTTGGGGATGCAACGTTTTATTTTTAATGGGCTTTTTTTTTTTGGAAGGCAACGTTTTGTTTTTATTTGGTGTTTTATTTGGGATTTTAGAATGCAACATGTTCTTTTTATTTGGCCTTTTATTTTTTTGGGATATGAAATATTATTCCTCTTTGGCAATTTGGAATGCAGAAAATTCTGGGCCTTAGTTTTGTGGGTAGAAATCTGTTCCTATGAGGAAAAAAAAGAGTAGTTTTAAAGGAATATTTAAGATTTTACAGAGGTTTAGGTCTCAGGGAGCAACATGTCCATAACCACTGTGCAGCATGTACATACCAGGGTCTCTTCATGGGCTGCAAGTAGCAAATAAATTGCAATATTTAAATTTTAGTGGAATTTTTATACCCAACACACACTTGCTACTGAAAATACTCAGGTTTTTCTAGACTTCAGGGTATAAACTCCTACCCTTCTGTTTGCAGGGCTTGTGCCTGGCCTTCTGAACTTGGGGAACACTTGTTTCATGAACTCCTTGCTGCAAGGTTTATCTTCCTGCCCATCTTTCATCAAGTGGCTGGAGGAATTTACAGCACAATACAAGACAGAGCAGAACCAGCCCCCTGAGTGTCGACACTTGTCAGTCACTTTGCTGCAGCTCCTAAAAGGTACTTTAATTAATTTTCATATGGTGAAAAAAGGAAGAAGAAAATATTTAGCCAGCTGAAGAGGAGCCAGCATGTGCCCAGGGGGCCAAGAAGGCCACCAGCATCCTGGCTTGGGTCAGCACTAGTGTGGCCAAGCAGGACCAGGGCAGGGATTGTCCCTCTGGATTCTGCACTAGGGAGGCTGCAGCTTGAACCCTGGGGTCAGTTTTGGGCCCCTCACTTTTTATTCTTCTCTTTTTAATTTCCTTCTACTAACTTTGAACTCATTGGCCAAGTTCACCCAACTTTCACAGAGGGGTAGAGATCACAGTGGTCTTCAGTTACTGTGCAGAGCTTGAACACCACGAGGCCCAGGTCTTTGGAATCAGAATGTTTGGGGGTTGGAAGGGACCCAAACACTGCACAAGGTGTTTCCAGCAGGTTGTACAAATCCTGGTGGAAGGCAGCAGGGGTGCTGAGAACAGGCCTGTGGCTCTTCCCAGGGTGTTCATGGTTCAAACAGTATGGAAATGGACTCAGTAGAATTTAAGAAATAGGAAAACATTGTCACAATGAGAGGGGTGCTCCAAATTCTGTGTAAAAGAAAATTGATACATTATAATTTAAGCTTTTTTTTTTTCTCCAAGCTTTTTAGTTGACCAAAAATATGGAGTATAAAGAAGATACTTTGTATGATGTTGGATCAATCTGTTAAAGCCTGTGGGTTGGTAACCCCTGTCAGACTGTGCTGAATTCCTGTACTGGTTCCCTCCTATTTAAGCACTCAGAATGTTTCAGCAGCCTCTTGCCTCTGCCTGGCTTTCCTCACCCACCTTTGTTTCCAAGGAAATCCACCCAAGTTTTTCTGTCCTAGAATGTCCCAGCCTGGTTTGGGTGGGAAGGGACCTTTCCAGGTCACCTCATCCAACCCCCTGCAGGGACAGGGACATCTGCAGCTAGAGCAGGGTGCTCAGAGCCCAAACCAACCTCCCCTGGGATGGTTCCAGGGATGGGGCAGTGACCACCTCTCTGGGCAACCTGGGACAGCATCTCACCACCCTCAGCATCAATTTCTTTCCTATATCTGGTCTAAATCTCCCTCTTTTTGTTTCAAACCATCCCCCCTTGTCCTGTCCCAACAGGCCCTGCTCAAAATTCTGTCCCCAGCTTTCTGACAGGCCCCTGGCAGTCCTGGAAGGCTTGATAAGAAGGGTGATTAATACATACTAGTTAGATTGCCTTTGGCCACCTGTCTTCATGAAGAATAACCCTGCTGTAATCAATTAGATGATGCTTAAGTGACATACAGCCTAAAATAAACAGGGTTGTGTCCTAACCCTTCTTTGTGGCTCCTTCTAACATTTTGAATGCTTTGTCCTCTAGCTTTGTCCTGCCAGGAGGTGACAGAGGATGATGTCCTGGATGCAAGCTGCCTGTTGGAAGTTCTAAGGATGTACAGGTGGCAGATCTCCTCGTTTGAAGAGCAGGTGATGCCTCCTTGGTTACTGTTAGCTTGGGAGTCACTAACAGAGGACAGCTAGAGCCCAAACTTCACTGTAGAGAAAGGGTTTGTGCCAAGGTGCCACCCTGCTCCCAGGGTGGACTCTTCTTTGCTAACATTTCCAAATTTAGTTATATGTAACATGGCTTCTGAAGCTTGTTTTTGGTATTTTCAGCCCCTCAGTGCAGATGGCTGATGAACTCAACCAATTATCTCACTCATAAAACATGATTCTGGCTTTTACAGTTCAGAGCCAAAACAAACTGCAGGGATTTCCACTGTGCTTTCATTGAAATCAAGGCAAGCAGGCATTCGTGCATGCATTTTTCTTTTTCCTCCAAGCATTTCAGTATCTTTTGAGTTTATCCAGCCCAGAACACTTTGAATAACAGGTGCTGTGACAAAGTTCAGCTTTATAGAAAAAGCTTTTTGGCAAAACTGCAGTGGGTGCACGAACAATTACCCCTAATACATCAGGTGGGCTCTAAGCAGTAATTTTTATTTCCTCCTACAATGACCCAGTCTGTATTTTAATATTGGGGTTTTTTTTTCATTTCCTCTAAGACTTATGCCTCTGTTTAATAGGATGCTCATGAACTGTTTCATGTCCTTACCTCTTCACTAGAGGACGAGCGGGACCGTCAGCCACGGGTGACGCATCTGTTCGACGTGCATGCACTGGAGGTGACTCCTTTACCAGCTTTATCTCATTATCAGAACTTCCCATACTCTGCCTACCTTCCTGAGTGTGTCAAGCATAAAGTGTTTGCTTAGAAACTGAAGATGTTTTGGTTACATTTATAAAGCTGTTCTTTAGATAGAAAGGAATCAAAAGGCCAGGCAAAAAAAAATCGCTTTTCGTAAGCAAATGTATTTAAATTCACAGCAATCCCACATCCCTGAGGGCTTTGCCATTCCTAAATCCATGGAGGATAAGGACTGAGTGGACATCTAAGCAGTCACTCTTCTCTGTAAGAGTCTGACATGTGGAAGAGGTTTGAAAACTGCAAAAGGGACATTTACTGAATAGTCCCGTTTGGAGCTGAAATTTATCCTGCAGTTTAGTGGTAAACTTTATGCAGCTGGAAGGCTTCTATCTCTTTTTGTCCAAAATAGATGGAAAAGGTTTATAAAATCTTTCTATGCTTTTTTTTTTAAGTTGTCTGAGGCAGAGAATTCTGCAGATTAGTTATTCATTTTATTAGAAACATTCTTTTTGTCAGTTATAAATTGATTGTGTACCAGATTTTTTTACCTTCCTTAAATATAGAGACACTAAAACTCCCACAATTGTTCTAATATCAGGAAAGCATATTAGGGATGAAATAAGAACATATTTAATACTTAATGGTTTCTGAGGTAGGGTTAATTAAATCTTTTATCTTCCTCTGTAGCAGCCAGAAATAACCCAGAAGCAAATAAGCTGCAGAACAAGAGGTATGTTTTTATCCATTCTGCAAGATGAATATTCATAGTGTGGTTGATTTGTTTATTAAGGGGGTAATATTAATTGATCTTTGTCTCTGTTGGACTGAGATATATCTCTCCAGCTGCAAAAAAAAACCCCAAACCAGTAATTACTTGTCAGTGGGACAGAACACATTTGAGACTTTTGTTACTGTGGGGTTAAAAACGTGGAATCGTAGCGATGAGGACAGAAATTGATTGGAAATAAAAGTACAGTTTCAACTTTTGTCTTTCAGGATCTCTTCCCCCTATGTCAGAGCACTGGAAATCACAGCATCCTTTCCATGGAAGGCTGACCAGCAACATGGTTTGCAAACACTGTGAACACCAGGTACCAGAATGTGTGTCTCCCAGTAGGCACACGAGGTGACGATAGAGCATGATCCCCTTGATGGGGATAAAAGTTATCTTATCAGACAGACAAACAGCTGTCTGACTGTATTTTGAATTCAGTAGCACAGCTCTTGTATACTGAAAATACACCCACTCACCATGGGCAGTGTTTTAGGGGGAGCAGTTTGTTCAGCATGCAAGACTGAGATTGCACGGGCAAAGCCAAATTCAGCTGCAGTCCAGTTATCCAGAGTAAGGAGCTGAAGATAACCTGGAGAAAGAGCAAATACAGAAAGTCCATCTCATTTGTAGCTCAGACTGTAAGAGTACATTTGGCACTTTTACTTTTCCAGACCTTGCAGATGAATTTAAGTGAGCAGGGCAGCTTCAGTGGGAACAGGCCGAGTAGCACCTTGTGTACCTGGTGTTCCCTAGCACAGTGCTGGGTAGTTTTGACCCTATCCCACCAGATAACTGGACAGCAGAAGCCTGGAGTGAGCTTGGGTGGGTTTTTTTTGTTTTTTGACTGCCATAAATTTCAGCTCACTGGATCTGTGAAATCCTTTCTTGCAGAGTCCTGTGAGGTACGACACCTTCGACAGCCTCTCACTGAGC